CGCCGCGGCGAGCGGTAGTCGCTGCGGTACCCCCCCGGCTACCAAGGAGGTAGAAAACGCAATGGGAAAGTACCGCTGGCCTGCGAGGTAGCGTCGCTCGCAGCACGCCGCTGCCCTGGCTGGCAGGCTGTGAAGGAGCCCGAGAGATGTTGCTGTTTCACAATAGTCTATGCTCTTCTAAATTGAGTTTTCCCAGCAGCTGCATAATTTCCCGCGTATCTGAGCTTCAGACAGTGAAGGAACATTTCCTTCTGAATACCACCACCCTGAAACCCCTAAAATAGTCTATCCACTAATCCTAAACAGAACTACACGGCTAAAATTCTAGGTACATCTTTTAGCAGACGTGTTTGCAATTCATGGTTCTTCCAACTCTAAAAACAACTACGGAAGTACAGAAAATACAGATAAAATAAGAATTAATTTTCCAATCAGATGCAATCATATATTCATAGAAAAAAAAAAAACGCTTTTATGAAATTCCTAGAACTAGAACCTGGTCCTTGCCACCGCGGGTGCCTATTTGCCAGATGTTTAAATTTTGCAAAGCTCAGGTGGATGGTTCCTCCTCACACACCTTTATCCACCTCTCAAAGAAACAGTTAGATGTGCTCAGCACTCATGGAAGCTTGAAATTTCAAGCAACCCATTGAGCAGAGATAGGACTTCCTTGCTCTAAAAAATAACTTGCTTTTTAATAACATTTGCTATTTGCAGGAAATAGAAATCCACAGTGCCTTTCAGCCATTTATTTCTGCATTTTTATTGAATGTAGCTCAGAATAAAGTGGGTATAATAGATACCCAAGAGAACACACAATTACTCTGTTGGGAAAACAGCTGTTTGTGCTCTCTGAGCAAAGCTGATCCCTCTGAATGGTAATCTGTAGACTTGAACGGTTTACGAAAGTAACTAAATATTTCAAAGTACATATTTGACTGCATGAGGAGCATGGATTTGTTTCCTCTCAAATTTATAGAAGAAGTTCTGGTGAGAGCAGCAGCATGGCAGCAAAAGGAAGAGGGCCTAGCAGCAGCACAAGGAAAGGCTGTTGTTATCTTTCAATGTTACAGCGGTCCCATTTCTTATTCTCTCAAGCCTTCCACACGCAAAACCTTTGTCCTGACTGGTTGTGTGTCTGTGGCAGATGAGTTACATGTTTGAAACTGAAGAAAAGTGCCAAATACGTTGTTGGACAAGCTCAGAGCTTTCTTAGTTAGTACTTCCCTCCTCTACCCCAATTGTGAAATTTCATGTTCTCCAATATTGTTCTCCGGCATTAGATTT